CGAGTTCTGTTTCATGTGCAGAGGTGTTTTTTTCTGTTCTCAAACTGATCTCCCTGTTGGAGCTCAGTCTGGGGGGAGTTATTTTTTTCTCCTTATCTTTCCTCTGTGGTGCATTTTCCATTGTTATACCTCTCTGACCTGTCTTCCCCATGTGATTTTTGTGCAATAACCCAAACTGGAAATACACAACACTATTTATTTAAGTATTTATTTCCTTTTTTTCTCCAGATTGTTGTTTTTCATTGTATCGTCTTGATGCATTCACAATCATCCAGGTAAGTAAATCTCCAAAGGCTGATTCTGTTCATCTGGACAGAATCGCTACATCCAGATGAACAGAATCAACCTTTGGAGTTTTTCATTGTACATCTGTAGAGTGACAATAAATGCATTCTATTTTATTCTATTTTGCAACTCTGTCTTAAAGCAGGCCCTCTACTCTCCCTCATTCCATGTTCTGGCTTTGTCTTGGCCTTCAGAGGCCTTGAACTTTAATACAGACACTCCTTTCTCTCCTGACCTTTGCCAAACTCTCAGCCCTATCACAGGCTCTCTGCTCTGTGCTGGCAATCAGCAGCCTGCACATTAGAGCAGGCTCTTCTCACTCCTTGCACATCAGCTTTGAATCTATCAAAGGCTCTCCTTCTGTCTCTTAACTTCAGCCTGTTTTAATGTTTTATCTCAGTGTCTCTGTGCTCTCCTGGCCTCCAATGGCCCTTGAGCCTTTTTGCAATCTCTACTCTACTTTGAACTACCCCTTTGCTTTCCAGACCTCTTGTAATACTGCTAACATTCATGGGTTCCATACCTATAGGTCAAAATTTCCTGCCATATGTCTATGTTTCAGGTTGAGTCTCCACCATCTTGGGCCTTCCCAAGGTGTGGAGGCCTGTCTCCACCCACCACACTCCCTGCCGGTGGCTGTCACCCACAGCTGTCGGTGCGTTGGTGGTTCTCGGTGTCCGGGGCTGGGCGCTCAGGTATGTACCCGGCTCACTCCCAGCGGCAGCTTAGCAGGGCCTGGTGCCCGTGGCTGGGTTGGGCACCATCCGGGGGTGGGGTGCCCTCAGACTTCGGGCTTCTGGAACTGGGGCTCGATTCTCTCTGGCGGGACTGACTGCCAGCAGACCCCGCGGGCTCATCAGTGCAGCCCGCTGTGGCGTCTGCACCGTGGCTGCTGGGTGACCCCACGTCTGAGGCTCTCCTCAGCTCTTTCCGGGAAGGTGGCACAGTTGCTTCTCCGTTGGTTCTCTTTGGGCTTTCGCAATCTGGGGGGCCTGTGGATGTCCGGGCCTGAGTGCCCTCAATGTCTGCTTCAGGCTCTGGGTCTGAATAATAACATTCAATAGTTAGTATTTAAATATTATATCTTACTGTCCCCCCTTCCCCTCTGTTTCTCTTTCTCCCTTCTGTCTAATTGTCTGTCCAATTTGTAATAACTTAAAAAATTAAATTAAATTAAATTAAAAAAAATTTAAAAATAGGAACTTCCTGCCATGGTAAGATTGCTTTTCTTTTCTTTGGGGGTCCTACCCTAATCCTTATCACTACTGGGATTCTGTTCTGCTTCGATGGGCCATCAGACTGCCAAATACCTCAAATTGAGTTCTGTACATCAATAAATTATCTTCACTTCCTTCTAATGATCTTGTCACCATCCCGAGGCAGACCGAGTGAAGTGAGCGAGGTCGACCCAGGAGCAGACAGAGGCGAGGAGACGGAACTTGAGTTGCAAACCAGATCCTTTATTGTGGCTGAAAACATGAATACAACTCAAACGAAGGCAAACATGGGAGAGAGCTAACTGAACCTACACTGGGAAAAACTAAGATAACAGAGACGATACAGAGGAACTATGATACCTATGAATACATGAAACGAGGAAACAGACAACATGACGCTGAACAGGAAGACTGAGGACCTAAATACACACATGAGGTGATCAGAGGAAGTGGCGACATGAGGACACACCTGACTCGAATGAAACATAATGACAACACAGGGGCCTAAATGACCCAGAACCATGACAGATCTGTCCTTATTGAAATTTAGCTCATGCCTCAGTTCAATAATGAAGATCTGAAGTCACACATCTGCTGCCTCCCAGGTCTTGGCAGAAAAATCCACTTTCCCACGCTGTCAAGCTGGTTGTTAAAAATCACTGCCGGCTTATGCAGAGTGGTCGTTTGAGCACAGGTGCAGAGTTGCAAGTTAAAATGTTTGTCTTGCTTTGTTCACGGGTGATAAGTCTCTGAACCAGCGGGGCCTGCAAGCACAAACCCAACAAGTACTGTTACTGGCCAAGGATGTCCTCTGATATCAAGCAGTAGGTTCAGGGTTATGAGCATTGTCAAATTGCAAAGGATTCGGGGCTGGTATCACATAGCTATATGGGCCACTTGTAATCCTCCAGCAGTAGACTTGAGAATGACCTGGTTATGACTGATGTTTTCAGCAAATATACCGTTGAAGTCCTTACTCGAGATCAGCGGACTTCTACTGTAGCCCAGGTTCCTCTGACAGAGTGGTGTTCCTAGCCGCTCTGACCAAGGCAGGAATTTAGAGTTTGTTGATGCACCAGTTGTGTGAATTATACCAGGTAGCAAAGTCTCGTGCAATTCCATATCATCCAGTGAATAATGGACAGTGTGAATGGTTTAATAGAACCCTTCATAACATCTTGCACACCCTTCCATCATCCCAGAATTGGTCTGTGCGTTTATGCACACATGCTCTTTTGTTATACCAGCACACCCCATCAGGGCACAAGGGAGTTGCCATTTTTCTTGTTTGGCTCTCATCCCAGGCTCCCCATTGACTTTCTTCTGGGTTGGGCTGCACTAGTGCCATCACCTCTTTACTCATTATCTACAGCTACATTTAATGAGCAGTACGGTGGCTTATTCTCAGCCCTGATTCACTTATTTTCAGCTGTTGTGGATAGGGCACCTGCACTTCTAGCAGCAGTTCAATATAGTGTCCTTAATTCTGGGGTAAGCAGCATTTGGCACTATTTTGCTACTGACTCCAAATTAGAATAAAACAACATGCTATATCTATTGTTATTTCCAGGATCTGACTGTTGCCAGCTAGAGCCTCTGTTCAGTGGTCAGTGTTGATTGTTTCAGTCCGGTCAAGTTGAGCAAAACACCTGCAGCAGCTGCTGTTTTGGGCACATCCTTTGGTTTTGTTTTGTTATTATTGCATCTTTTTATTTCCTAGAGGTGAAATTCATGCAACCGATCTCCTCCCTGTCATAGCCTCTCCCTCCTCACTCCAGGGGGTCATGCCCTCATCACTATCACCGCTGGGTCAGCGTGTAAATATCTAAATACCATCCATCCATCCATCCATCCATTCGCTTCCGCTTATCCTTTTCAGGGTCGCGGGGGGCGCTGGAGCCTATCCCAGCTGTCATAGGGCGAGAGGCAGGGTACACCCTGGACAGGTCGCCAGTCTGTCGCAGGGCCAACACACAGGGACAGACAACCATTCACACTCACATTCATTCGCACATTCACACCTAGTGGCAATTTGGATTGTCCAATTAACCTATCCCCACAAGCTGCATGTCTTTGGTGGGAGGAAGCCGGAGTACCCGGAGGGAACCCACGCAAACACGGGGAGAACATGCAAACTCCACACAGAAAGACTCAGGCCTGATGGTGGAATTGAACTCAGGACCTTCTTGCTGTGCGGCAACAGTGCTAACCACCGTGCCACCGTGCTGCCATCTAAATACCAAATACCTCAAACTGAATTCTATACATCAGTGAATCATGTTCAATTCCTTCTAATGATATTTCCTTATTACCACCCATAATACTCTTTCTCACAGAGGGCCTCACTCATAAAAAAAATGGGGGAAAAAAAATAACTCATAAATGCATTTAAATTAGCAAATTAATTGGCAAGTTTTATTGCACAAACCAATATTGAAGCAGAAAATTCTTTATATTGATGCACGTTGCTCTTCTGGTCCTCCATATTGTCATGAATTTGACTGAGTGCAGGAAGGAAAGGACTCAAATGGAGGCAAAAAGTAAACTAAAAAAAAAGTCAGCTTAATTTGCTGAATGGCAAAACAATACAAAACTAGACCAGGACATATATAAACTGATACAGGTAGAGGCACACAGGGAAACACACAGCCATGAGGGAGAATACAACACCGGACGGAGGGAGACTCTGACCTAAATACACATGAGGATAATGAGGGATGAGAGATCACACAGGGAACACAACTGACGCCATAGAGGAAGCAAAAAAAGACATGCTGAACACGGAAACACGAGACCTTCACAATAAAACTGCAAACAGAGGAACACAAGACTGACACATGAGTTTGACAGAGGGGTGGAGGAAAGGCAGAAGAGACGGAGCAAGGGAATATGAGGGAGAGGGAAGACATGCCGGGCTGGGGAAACATGGATAAACATGGTGGACTGAAACCCAAGGAGGTCACAAGAACTTATACAAGCAAGACTCACAGAGGGCAAAGACACAAGGGGAAACACTAAGTAATCAAGCAACTAAACAGGGAATATAAGAAACTCAAAACAGGATAACTAGGCACAAAAGAATAAACGTAAAACTAAAAAGGTGAACTTGTACATAAATCATAAGACAAAATGACAAAAGCACAAGAAAACTCACAATGCTGGGTCAAATGACGCAGACCATGACACATATATCCCACACTGGTGACTGAAGTGATGCTATAACTATGGAGAGTGTGATTTGATGTGTGAATTCTTACCTGCAGAATTGAGTGTAAATGCAAAGCCAGCATCCCCACTTGTCTCTGTCCCACTTATTGGGCTTGCCTAACCTGCCTGCTACCACTGATGTACTATTTACTGATGATGTAAATGTAGCCACCCCTGTAACAACAAATGCCCAGCTAATCATAACTAAAAATGTCAGTTTCACCAGAGAATATCCAAAGGATGCTGTCAGTAATGTGCATCAGTTATTATTAATCCTTTATTTATGTAAGGACAAGAAAGACATTGTGGACAAAACAAGACACCCCCCATAATCTTTAGTGACAATATTGTAGTTAGTTAAATGGTCTGATTGTTCAAATCTGTATTTTCTTTGATTGTGGTAAAATAATGTGTGCCCCAGTCTCCAAAAATGACATAGTGCAGGAAGCGTAGTTATTCCTCCGTTACACCACAAGAGGGAGTATCCCCTAAAATGAGCAGCTCTAGCGGGAGTAAAGAAGCCAGCCACTACCCATAAGGCAGTGCGCCTATAAGCGTTATGTGAGACTGCAAAAGTGTGTAACGCTGTGCTATGTCCATGTATATATTTGCAGGTAAGCAGATACAAGATGGTAAATAACTTAAAATGTGTCTACAGATGAGTCCACGGGGTTGCAGAGAATGTGGGAAAGTTGGCCGTTAATCCCCACTATGTGTCATTAGTGTATAAGTTATTGGTAGCGATGTGAATTAGCTGTGATGCTAACGATTAGCAGCTAGATCTGATTCATTAGTTTGTGTGGAAACCTCGTGGCACTTTTGTGGATTTATACCTGTACCGGGCTGTAATCACAGCAGATGTAGACTGGTGGATCACACTACCTTGTGTTTATGTTTATTTCATTGTTCCACTGTAAGAAATATTAGTGGTTTGAGTTTAAACACTACCCATAAGGCAGTGCGCCTATAAGCGTTATGTGAGACTGCAAAAGTGTGTAACGCTGTGCTATGTCCATGTATATATTTGCAGATGCAGTAAAGGCGAACTCACAAAGCCACACTGGTTTCAATTCATTTTAATTCAAGTGTGCAACAAAATTTGGTGGCAGCGGTGGGATCAGCGGTGCTACTGAGAAGCAGTGTGAGATTACAGAATCGTCACCCACAGTATGGAGTTGGAGCGACTGCAAGACCAGCTAAGTGAGAGCTTGCTACAGTTAAGGTCAGACCAACTACAAGAAGTGTGTTTACAAGCTAAAATCTCAATCGGAAAACAGACAAAGAAGCACACGCTGATCAGAACAATAAGTGAAGCAGTTGAAACAATTATTGAAGTGGAGGAAGAGGAAGTAGCACACACATTCCTGGACAGATTAATTAAAACTGTTAAAGAATTAAAGGAAAGAGATGACCCTACACAGGAACGTGAAGAGAGTGTCAGTAGGGATGCGGTTGCATTGGCCAGTCTACAAGAACAATATGCAGCATTGCAACTAAGTTTTCAAACCTCAACAAAAAGGTTAGAGGAAGAAATGGCAAGATTGACAGACAGAATGGCCTCCCAAGAAACTAGTCAGGGTCTGGCTGCACAGTTACCTACTCGTCCATCACCGTTACCTGCTTCACCAGCAACACAGCCCCCTGAAGTGACTATACGCAGGGAATTTAGAATCAGTGGCCAAATTGGGGAACGGGGTCAGAAAGACAAACTGTCATACTCCAACCTGATTCATCAAATCGAAATGGGACTTAAAAAGAATCACAGCGAAGCTGAAATTATTGAAGCTGTTGTTAGGGCCATAAGCCCAGGCCTAAGTCTCCGTGATATGTTGGAGATTAAAACAGACCTCACCCTCATGCAGCTTCGTACCATACTGAGGGGACACTACAAGGAGGATAGCTCTACTGACCTCTATCATCGGCTGATAAATATCACTCAAGGAAGTAATGAGTCCCCACAGAACTTTCTATTTAGGGCAATAGAGCTGAAAGAAAGACTCCTAGCATCATCAAGGGAGCCAGGAACAGATGAACAATACAGTGTCGAACTGATTCAGAAAAAGTTTCTGCGAGCCGTTGGCACAGGTCTGATTAGCGACAATGTGAAATACCAGATCAAACTCTACCTGGATGATCCAGCAGTCACTGACGATGTGCTGATTGCAAAGACAAATGAAGCGGCCAGCCTCGAGTGGGAGAGGCAACAAAAATTCAGAAAGACCATCCGAGAAATGAAAGTAAGAGAGATAAAAGCAGAGGCACAGTCAGTGCAGGAGGCAACGGTTGGTGCAGTGGGTGGGCAAGACCAGCCATTCTCCACCTCGACAAAAGGTAAAGCTGCTAAAGCACCAGCAACAGTGACACGCAAGGAAACTGAGCTGTTTGATATCATCAATCAACTAAAAGGGGAAATAGCTGAAATAAAAGGAGTGATTCGTGAGTCGCACCGACCTTCTCCCTCACACCGCCCAAGCCTCAAACGTGGCTGCAGGGATTGTCAGGACAGCAATAGAGGAGAAAACTGCGACCACTGCTTCAAATGTGGACAAAGTGGGCATTTGTCTAGGGGATGCAGCACCCGGAGAAAACTTCCAGACAGGGCAGAGCAGATTGGTATGTCAGCTAGCACGGTGAACCCACGCCCGTCACCCTCTTTTCAGCTACTAAACCAAGGTGAGCAACAACAAGATGTTCACAAACTCTTGACGGACAGTATAAAACATTTGGAGACAAAAGCAGCAGCCGCCACACCAGATAAGAGGAATGAAGCGGTCTCCGTCAGCCTCCTCTCCCCAAAACGAAGAGCCCAGCTCCTCAATCTTATAGGGAGGAAGCACCTGATCACCTGCCTGCTTGAGGGAGTAAAAACCGCAGCGTTGTGGGACACGGGATCACAGGTTTGTCTCATAAATGAAAAATGGAGACAACAGAACATCCCACACCTCAAAGTTAGGAGTTTAACTGAAATCATTGGGCCTGGTATATTAGATGGGAGGGCAGTAAACCAGACACCAATCCCATTTTCCGGGTGGGTTGAAATCAAATTCAGGTTGCCCACAGAAGAGGCTGCGCAGTTAGAACTTCTCGTGCCAGTATTAGTAGCTCAGGAAGACGGGGTGGCGGAGGAGCCAATAATTGGCTTCAACGTGATTGAATACATGCTAGAGAGGGGAATAGAGCCACCTCGTGCTGTAACAGAAGCTGTTAGCACAGCATTCTCCATTGACTGTAAGAAAGCTGAGGTCTTTATAAAGGTGATGAAGAGTGGAGACGATGGGCTAGGTGAGGGCAGAGTGAAAACTGGGAGAGAATTAATGAGTATCCCACCTGGTCAGACAAGAGTGGTCAAGTGTAGTGTGAGAGCAGGCCCACTCCCAGCAGGTCAGGATGTACTGTTCGAGCCCAGCCCCTACCCTCAGATGCCAGAGGGATTGGAGGTGCAAGAGGGCGTTGTCCATTTACAGCAAGGCAGCTGGTCCCGTATGAGCCTCCCAGTCACTAATACCAAAGCTTATGAGATCATACTGCCTCCGAGAACTGTTTTGGGACAAACTCAGAGGGTTCGAACTATTTACCCAGCAAACACAGTGACAGTGGAAATAGAACAAATGGGAACAACAAGATCTACTGTAGAAGCAACAGCTACACCTCCAGCTAGCCAAATTGGGGAACAGGAAAACAGAACAAGAAGCAACAGTGAAGGTGTATGGGACCCCCCAGTTCCCCTTGACCATCTCCCTCCGGCACAGCAGCGGAAGATCAGACAGCTATTAAGGGGGGAGAGTAATGCCTTTGCTCGTGATGAACAGGATGTTGGCAATATACCCTCACTGCAGCTTAAGATCCGCCTCAGTGACCCCACACGTGTTCGCCGAACATATACATAAGTGCCTAAGCCACTTCATATTGAAGTAAAAGAATATCTGGAAGACTTGCTTAATAGAGGGTAGATAAAGAAATCAAAATCCTCCTACTCCAGCCCAGTATGTGTGCGGAAAAAGGATGGCAGCCTCCGCTTGTGCTGTGACTGGTCTGGTCTGACCAGTCACAGGGTCAGACCAGTCAATCCCTGACCGCCATCCCATACCACGCATACAAGATATGCTCAACACATTGAAAGAAAGCTCCTGGTTCTCGGTCTTAGACCAAGGGAAGGCTTTATCACCAGGGCTTCCTGGAGGAGTCAAGTCGCGCCCTCACTGCATTCATCACACCCTGGGGATTGTATGAATGGGTAAGAATCCCTTTTGGGCTGTCGTCTGCGCCGGCTGAGTTTCAGAGGGTGATGGAAGAATGCCTTGCAGGGCTGCGGGACGACATATGTCTGCCCCTACTTGGATGACAACCTTGTTCATTCAAAAACATTTGAGGACCACTTAAATGATCAAAAGCAGGTCCTGCAGCGTTATCAGAGCCATGGAGTGAAATTAACACCCAGGAAATGTGAACTGTTCAAAAATCAGGTGAGATTCCTGAACTCAAGATGGTCACACCATGGCACACCATGGACCCCGCTGACATTGCGCCTGTCCAAGCTTTAAAACAAAGGAACCCCACCACAATTGGGGAAGTGAAGAAGGTGTTGGGATTCATCTCATACTATCGCAACTATATTCTTTTCACGCATTGCAAAGCTACTCTATGACCTTTCCCTCCTCAGAAAAAACAGGGGAAGGGAGAGACAGGAAGTCAAAACACAACAAAAAGACAAAGAATCAAGGGGGTCAGCTACCATCCTCTCACCTAGTGGCATGGTCAGCTGAGCATCATCAGGTGGTCTGTCAGCTAGTCAATTTCCTCATTTAGCCCCCAGTTTTAGGTTATCCCGACTTCGAGCAACCATTCATCTTACATTGTGATGCATCGTAGGAGGGACTTGGAGCTGTGCTTTACCAAAGACAAAATGGGAAGCTAGTGGTTATTGCATGTGGGTCTAGGACCCTTACTGCCCCAGAGAAGAACTACCACCTCCATTCAGGGAAGTTGGAATTTCTTGCCCTGAAGTGGGCCATATGTGAGAGGTTTAGAGATTATCTCTACTATTCACCACCCTTCATTGTCTATACTGACAACAACCCCCTCACATATGTGCTGACAATGGCAAAACTGAATGCAACCACACACAGATGGGTAACTGAACTCGCTGACTTCCAGTTCTCCATCAAGTATCGACCTGGCAGAGCTAACAGAGATGCAGATGGTCTCTCATGAATGCCCTTGGATATGGATCATTACATACAAACTTGTACAGAAGCAGTGACACCTGAGGTCCTAAACAGCGTGACTCAGGCTCTGGCTGTTCAGCTGCAGGGAAGTGAACCCTGGCTCTGCCCGTTAAACATCTCAACTGTGGTAGCAGAGCAAAGTGAGGAGGTAGGGATGTCAGGTCTGGAAATCCCTAAGACAAACTTAAGAGATGCACAAAAAGAGGATCCTGTAATTGGGGAAGTCCTGAAGTATGTCATCTCTAATCGGTGGCCAAAAGGCAGAAAACAGGCATGCAACAAGGAGATTGCTGCCCTGCAAGGGAAAAACAGAAACTGCACCTTGATGAGGATGGTTTACTGTACAGGAAAACACCCAGCCAAACACAGCTACTCCTGCCTAAGAAGTTCCATTTGCTCGTTTATAAAGAACTTCATGAAGACATGGGCCACTTGGGGGTGGAGAGAGCTTTGGCCCTCATTCGGGATCGCTTTTACTGGCCTCACATGCAGGAGGACTTGGAGCATTACATAAGACAGGTGTGTAGCTAAAAAAAAACAAGCATTCCAACAAGCCAACCAGAGCTCCACTGATCAATATCACTACAAGGTACCCGTTTGAACTGGTCTCCATTGATTTTTTGCATTTGGAGAAATGTAAGGGAGGGTATGAGTATATCCTCGTGGCCATGGACCACTTTACACGATTTGCTCAGGCTTATCCCTGCAGAGATAAAAGTGCCAAAAACAGCGGCAGAGAAAATATTTGGAGACTTCGTCTTGAAGTTTGGTTTTCCCACACGGCTCCATCATGACCAGGGAAGAGAATTCGAAAACAAACTCTTTGCCAAGCTGGAAAAATACAGTGGAGTCAAGGGATCCAGAACCACACCATACCACCCCCAGGGAAATGGCCAGGTAGAAAGGTTCAATAGGAGACTGCTGGCCATGCTTCGGAACCTCCCAGAGGGAGCAAAAGCAGACTGGAAGGCATCCCTGGCAAAGGTGGTCCATGCGTACAACTGTACGCGCAGTGAGGCCACTGGATATGCCCCTTATTTCCTCTTGTTTGGGAGGAACCCCAGACTCCCTATTGATATGATTTTTGGTCTCACAGCTAATGCCAAAGCCCTTCTCATCAAGACTATGCCGAGAAGTGGAAGATTTGCATGAAGGACGCTTACAAATTGGCCTCAGCGACAGCCTGTAAGGAGAGTCGACAAGGGAAAGTGCTCTATGACAGAAAAACACACAGTGCAGAGCTGTATCCAGGGTGCAGAGTACTGGTCCGGAATTTTGGTGAAAAGGGAGGACCAGGGAAACCGAGATCCTTCTGGGAGGACCAGGTGTTTCAGGTGACACAAAGGAAACATAAGGATAGCCCAGTATATGAGATTAACCCAGAAAATAGCAAGGGACGTGTCAGAGTCCTCCACAGGAACCTCCTGCTGCCATGTGACTTCTTGCCAGTCAAAAAAGTCAACTCACATGCAGAACTGAGAAAGCAAAAACAGAAAAACAACAAGGACAGACATGAGCGACATGAGCAAGAGCACAGTTCAGAGGATAAGGATGAATGGAGAGCAATCAGAGGACTGCCGGCAGAACAAGGGGGACATGGTAGACAGCCCTGGTGGACAGAAGCATCAGAGTTCAATGCAGAGAGTGGAGCTGTCAGGAGGGAGGATCTCTGTGATGACAATGACATGGAACACCAGGAGGACTGCGAAGAACAGAATCCGGGCGGGGACAATATAGAACATCAACGCGACCAGCATGACGAGGATACAGAGGCATAAGCGAACAATAAAGACACAGAGCAGACGCACCAGCTTGAGATGGAGTGCAGTAACCAAGAGGACACTGACCAGTCAGTGTGAAAAAGTATCCTTTCAGAATGAGAAAACAAAAGCTAATGTTTACTTACCACAAAGTTAGGACAGCCGACATTAGCACTTGAATAAGTACCTCAGACACAGTCATATGTTACATACTGCAGTAAAGTAGTTATAACAGTTACATTTTCAGGTTTTCATTACTGCTTTATTAGAAAAATAGAAATGTTAATTCTGTTTTGTTAGCCATAAAGAAGAGTCAAAAGAATTAGTGTAGTGACCCGGTATGAGAATGGCACCCTATTTTATGTAGCGAGGTTAAGTCCAGGTGAGGGCACCTTACTCAGTAAAGATGCAGATACCCGTGATATGGATGGAAAAAGCAGTGGACTGTTATCGTGCACAATAACACCTGCTGCGACATATGACATGAAGGGGAGATACATGTCATGTGTTTCACTGTGGCTAGCAGTGATGCTGAACTCTGACTCCTAAAGAGATGTAGCCTCCTACAACCAACGTATAGTTGCCACATAAGGACTGATATTGGTAGAATGTCGGGATGCCATTAACGTTTTGAGGGGAGAGTGTAAGGACAAGAAAGACACTGTGGACAAAACAGGACACCCCCCCCCCAATCATCTTTAGTTACAATATTATAGTTAGTTAAATGTTCTGATTGTTCAAATATGTATTTTCTTTGATTGTTGTAAAATAATGTGTGCCCCAGTCTCCAAAAGTGGCATAGTGCAGGAAGGGTATTCCTCCGTTACACCACAAGAGGGAGTATCCCCTAAAATGAGCAGCTCTAGCAGGAGTAAAGAAGCCCAGCCACTAACCATAAGGCAGTGCGCCTATAAGCGTTATGTGAGACTGCAAAAGTGTGTAACGCTGTGCTATGTCCATGTATATATTTGCAGATGCAGTAAAGGCGAACTCACAAAGCCACACTGGTTTCAATTCATTTTAATCTCAAGTGTGCAACCCAAATTTCGTGGAGCTCAGGGCACTGAGCACCGCAGTGTTTGCACAGCAGCTCAGGGCGCACTCGCGGAGCAGATTCTCCACATGGAGCGGACATACCCGGACTCTCTCATCATTGCTCTTGGGGACTTTAACAAAGCCAATCTGAGCCATGAGCTTCCGAAATACAAGCAGTATATTAAATGCCCGACCAGAGAGGAGAGGACACTGGACCACTGCTACAGCACGATCAGCGGGGCCTATCGTGCGGTGCCCCGCGCTTCACTCGGACTTTCTGATCACGTCATGATCCACATGATCCCCGCGTACAGACAGAGGCTGAAGCTCTCCAAACCTGTTCGTGAGGACCAATAAAACGTGGAGCATATCGAGTGGCTGGTGGAGAGCTGTCGCACGTGGTTGGGGAGGTCCACAGATCACGGATCACAAGAAGTGCTGCTTCTATATCAGCTGGAAGACGAGTTTGTGACGACACTGTTACTCGTCCTACTATCCTCATTCTTCTGTGAGGAACAGATGTGCCCCATCTACGCATCCCAAGGGTTGAGGTTATATAACAATGACACAACCCTGGTTTACTCCTAAACTCAAAAAGCTGTGGCTGGAAAAGAGAAAGGCGTTCAGAAGCGGAGACAGGGACTGCTACAAAGAGGCCAAGTACAGGTTCACTAAAGAAGTGGACATTGCTAAACATCAGCACTCTGAGAAGATGCAGCAGCAGATCTCAGAGAATGACTCGGCCTCTGTGTGGAAAGGTTTTAGGAATATCACCAACTACAAGCCTAAAACCCCCCACTCCACTGACGACTTGCTCTTGGCCAACACCCTAAACGACTTCTACTGTCGTTTTGACGAGCCATCAGGCAGCCTTCACACCTCCAACGACCCCAACAATAGAGGCACTTTGGACACTCATTCCCCCACCTCTCCCCCCTCCATAGAGCCATCACCGCCTTCAAACTGTTCACCTGCAACACCCGCCCCCTCACCCCACACAAAAGAGGATTTCACACCACCTCCTCCGACCACAACTCTTCATATTCATGAAGCAGATGTGAGGAAGCAGTTTAGGAGTCTGAATGCTCGAAAAGCTCCCGGCCCAGACGGTGTGTCTCCTGCCACCCTCAGACACTGTGCAAACGAGCTGGCCCCAGTGTTTTCTGGCATCTTCAACTCCTCACTGCAGGCATGTCATGTGCCTGCCTGCTTCAAGTCCTCTACCATAATCCCTGTCCCCAAGAAACCTAGGATCACTGGACTAAATGACTACAGACCCGTGGCTCTGACATCTGTGGTCATGAAGTCATTTGAGCGCCTGGTTCTCTCCCATCTCAAGACCCTCACGGCCCCCCTCCTGGACCCCTGCAGTTTGCATATAGAGCCAACAGGTCTGTAGACGACGCCATCAACATGGCCCTACACTTCATCCTGCAGCATCTGGACTCCCCAGGAACCTACGCCAGGATCCTGTTTGTGGACTTCAGCTCTGCCTTCAACACCATCCTTCCAGACCATCTCCGAGGCAAGCTTTCCCAGATGAATGTGCCTGATCCCATCTGCCGGTGGATCACTGACTTCCTGACGGACAGGAAGCAGCATGTGAGGCTGGGAAAGAATGTCTCGGACTCCCGGACCATCAGCACCGGCTCCCCTCAGGGCTGTGTTCTTTCTCCTCTGCTCTTCTCCCTGTACACCAACTGCTGCACCTCCACCCACCAGTCTGTCAAGCTAATCAAGTTCGCAGATGACACCACCGTCATTGGGCTCATCTCGGACGGGGACGAGTCTGCCTACAGGAGGGAGGTTGAACGTCTGGTGACCTGGTGCAGCCACAACAACCTGGTGCTGAATGCCCAGAAGACAGTGGAGATTATTGTGGACTTCAGGAAGCACATAGCCCCACTCCCCCCCATCATCCTGACTGACACCCCCATCACCTCTGTGGACTCATTCCGCTTCCTGGGTACCACCATCACCCAGGACTTGAAGTGGGAGCCCACCATCACCTCCGTCATCAAGAAAGCCCAGCAGAGGATGTACTTCCTGAGGCAGCTGAAGAAATTCAACCTGCCAACACGGACGATGATGCAGTTCTACACTGCAATCATCGAGTCCATCCTCACCTCCTCCATCACCGTGTGGTACGCTGGAGCCACTATCAGGGACAAACAGAGACTGCAGCGTGTTGTGCGCTCTGCTGAGAAGGTGATTGGCTGCAGACTCCCATCTCTGCAGGACCTGTACACCTCCAGGACACTGCGGCGTGCAGCCCGGATCTCAGCTGACCCTTCTCACCCTGGACACAGTCTGTTTGACCTGCTCCCCTCAGGCAGGAGGCTCCGGTCCATTCGCACCAGAACCTCTCGCCATAAGAACAGTTTCTTCCCCTCTGCTGTTGGACACATGAACAATAACCACATGACTGTCCCCGCCACTAACACATGACCCTACGCTGTGTCACTGCATCATTTCATGTTTGGCACTGATCACCACCTGCACTCATGTATATATCTTTCTACGTAGCACTCATAATTCTTATTCTCATGTATATATCTCATGTATATCTCATGCACATATCTTTCTTTCTACATAGCACTTTAATTCTTATTGTTTGCACTGAAGCACCGCAGCAATTTCCTAATGTTGTAAACCTCAACATCTGGCAATAAACCCCATTCTGATTCTGATTCTGATTCTGATTCTGAAAAGGGACTGATTGTTTCGTTGATCTTTTAATAAAGAAAAAATATGTGTTTTTCTTTTAGTGACTACATCTCCAAAGTGTGCTTTCCCAGAGAAAAGCTCACCAATCTTTACCAACATGTTATTTATTGTTTTAAGACTTTTGTATTTTTGTTTTTTGTGGCTGCTCATGGGGTGCGTTGCAATAGCCAATTTTGCTTACAAAACTTCCCAAGTGAC